TTTCAATTAATATAAATTTACATTTTAATTAAGTGCAAATTAAATTTAAATCTAAAATCTTAGGTTTCTCCAATTTTTATTTTTTTCTTGTCTGTCTATTTCTTAAAGTATGGGCTCCAACATGTCAATTTAAAGACAACCACAGCAGAAAATAATTATGACTGAATTAAAAGTATTGAATTTTTGCTATTTGTGACCCATGTTATTTCTGTAATATTATTACTATTATAAAATTTTAAAATGCTTTAGGCTTCATCTGAATAAACATGGAATAAAATATTTTAAAATATACAAAGTCTAACTTGCCTAGAAAATGTTTTAAAGTTGAAAGCTGACTAGCAGAACAATTAGTCTTGCGGCTTCACCCAGGTAGTATATATTCACTGACTGCTACAATTTCTAGAAATAATTGTTACAGAATAATCCAGGAGCCCTGATGGAGCAGTGGTTAGAATGCAGTATTGCAGGCTGGCTCTGCCCATAGCCAGGAGTTCAATTCTGATTGGTTCAAGATTGACTCAGCCTTCCATCCTTCCAAGTCAGTAAAATAAGGACCCAGATTTTGGGGGGCAACATGCTAAAGTTGTAAACCACCCAGAGAGTGCTATAAAGCACTAAGGAGAGATATATAACTAAATGCTATTGCTGTTAGAGAAGACTGCACAAAACAATGGCAACAAAGGCCAATGGCTGTTGCATGTCAGTGGAGAGATTTTGGCCAATGGTATCTTCTTTTTCACTTCCTTCCTTTCAGGACATACTAGATCAGACATGTCAAACACAAGGCCCGGGTGCCAGATGCAGCCCACGAAGTGGTTTCATGTGGCCCGCGAAGCCATCCTGGAAACAGTGAGGGAACGGCCCCCGCTGTCTTGGCCCTGGCCCAGGCCAGCTGGAAACCAATGTAGAATTTTGTGGTGGCCATCTTGGCACTTACCCCAGTGGACCATGCCTTGGCACTTGTCCCGGTCCCACCCCCTTCTGCCAGAGACCCTCAGATCTGTCCCACTCCTGCCCAGGCCCCCACAGGCACGTTTGACGCAAATGATGTAGAACTGGCCATGCCCACCCAGTAGGCCACACCCACTCCATCCATGCCCACCCAGTAGGCTGCACCCACTCTGGCCACACCTACCCAGCCCCCCAAGGGCAACTGCAATGCTGATGTGGCCCTCAGTGAAATTGAGTTTGACACCCCTGTACTAGATTATTTTGATATACGAGAATAGACCAAGCAGCAGAGGCACCCACAGCAATGGATATTGATTCCAAAATGCAAACAAACCCTCTACCTCTTTCTGTATTCAAGTAGTGTTAAAAAGGAGAGAGGCTTTGATTGCTTGGTTATGCCTGCTTTTTTTTTTTTTTGAAGCCAGTCATCATTGCTGTGGCTACCTCAAATGATTGTCTTATTTCTTACACCCCAGTTTACAACCAGTCTCAAAATCATGTAATTCTATAGGGTGGGTTTTTTTGGAAAGTCAGAATGGATCAAGAGAAGTTGAATTCCTATCCCTGCAGTACAAGAAAATTGAGTTTCCCTCTCATTGTCTTCATGGTGTACTGTAAGATACTTTCAAATAAATTTCAGGTTTCTCAGTGCGCCTATGCAAAAGGAGATGAATTGCCTTTAATCTTACTAGGGGCATAAGGAAAAATGAACCCCCTTTTTCTGGCCACCCTACTTACCTGTAAATGAAGTGAAGTGAAAATTAAATTAGAGTTCTAAGACACATTCTGAAAAAATTCCAGTAAAGAAACCAGGATTTATTTTGGTAGGGCCAGCCCAGGGGTAGGCAACCTTGGCTCTTTTATGACTCGTGGACTTAAACTCCCAGAATTCCTCAGCCAGCTCCCAGAATTCCTCAGCCAAGTGAAAAATAACTTGGTATGGCCCTACCTTTGAGGGGGCAATTTAGTTGGGAGAGCAAGGGCAAACCGTAAATGCACATCCTGAGTCACTTTCCACAGATGAGAGCAGCTGGCTAATTCATCAGAACAGCCAGGAGAAACTCACACTTGTTTGATAAAACTGTAAACTGAAAACTGCTGCTTCACTGTTTAACGGCTCAGTTGGTTACAATAAAACTACTCCAAAGTTTTCCTATGTACCTAACAGTTACAGTTTTTTTTCCCCCCCAATACATAAAACCAATTCTACTTATACCACATTACTGGGCAGTATAAGCATTTATCTAGAGAAAACAAATAAAAACATCACAGTGACAAGCAAAGAATATGAGTGTGCAAGATGAACATGACTTTAAACACACCTAATGATTTTGCATAGATATACTGCCATGAGATTTCATTTTACATATTTTTTGGATGAAAAGCAGGAAAGATTTTATTTCATCAGCCTTCAAAAATGGATATAGAAAGCATATTCCTTGTAGTCAAAACTATGAAGTTGTCCAAAAAAACCTGAAAATCACCAACTGAAAAATAAGTCACTCTTTATAGAGAGAGACTGAATTCTGAATAGTATGCTACAATAATTTATTTCTTTTAACACTCTCAACAGAAGAGCTAATTCAAATTTTATAGTATCATAGTTATGCAGATTCTTATCTTGGTGACAACACAATATACTTTAATGCACTTTTTTCTACTGGCAAATTAAATATGTATGCACAGCATATACAAGGACTCAATCTTTATGGCACAAGAATGCACTGTAAAAAAATATCACAGAGTTGGTAATCCTCTTTGCTGTGTAAAACTGGATCCATGCTAAAATTTTTGTATATTCCAAATTTAAATGTATGGAGATAATTAAAAACATTTTCGCATCAAGTAATATTGTCAGCAGCTAATGAAAAAAGTTGATAAATATTAACAAAGGAAAGCACTTATTCCCTTTGTTTCCTATAAAGCATAACCTAGCAATAGGTGTGTTACATACACATAAAATAAAATCACATATTTATTTACGTTTATGTTCTATTTTAAAAAGTCACCTATGATAAGACATCAACAGGTACAATCATTACTACTCACTATATTTCAGTACTAAATTTATAACATTTTCTTTAAATCTTAAGATGTGGGTATATAGTACCTACTTTCACTTTTATATTTGCTTAAATAAAAAGTATCCTCATTATTAGAAAAGTACACAGAATTCTATTCTTGCTATCAACAAAACAGAAATTGCTATAAAATGCAACAACAAAAAGCAGCATTAAATGTGTTAATAATTTTGATCTTCTTTCAAAACCAGAATAATCAGTCTGGAGTATTTTTTACCTATCTTGTCTATAATTGCAGAGGGGTGCAAAATATATATATTTTTTTTGCATCAAATAAAACCAATGTTTTAAATTGCTATATGCATTCTTTACTTGATACCTGAATCTTTATGGTATCAAACTGGATTTTCCAAACAATAGAATAATTTTAGAGGCAAAGTTATAAAGAGCTAATATTTTCTATTTTCTATGAAAATCTATAGAAATGAGTAAGAAAGTTTCATTACCACTTATATTATACTACTTTCTATTATTTTTTGTTGCCTAAATTCTCATTTTTCATAACTGTTCTTTCATATTTAGTCTAGTGTAAGAAAGCTTTTCTACCAGTAGGCATAGGTTTGATCTGATGTCTTGATATTAATTTAGCCACCAGTGAAACTCAAAATAAAATAGAACTGACATAACAATTTAAAACAGTTTAAAAATACATATAAGTATTTTCTTGCTTGTTCATGTTACTAATAGTACTTGTCAGTAAATCATACTTATCACTTGTCAGTCAGAATTGCATTTATGTTCCAAAGATTCTTAGTGTTTCATGTTTCTATGACATACACGTATTCTTTATTATTATGTTACAGATAAAAACTGTAAAAATATGCACAAAGCTATAGAGAGCAAAATATTCAATATGTAAAACAATTACAACATTTAAAAGGAAAAAACTTGACTCTATAATGAAACAGATTTTTTTAAATCTTATACAGAAACAATTTTAACATATGGATTCAAGAGGAAAAGGGAGGTACAATCAGAATAAATAGAAAATTATATCAATTCCTTATTCTCTGGCTACTATGCCTTTAATTATACATTAGTCCTTTTTAAAAAAAAAAACGATAATATAATGCAAATATTTTATGCATCATCTTAATAGAAAGAAATCCAAGCCATGTCCCTTTCATTTTTCATTATTTGACATCCAATATATTTCCCTATAGTTGCATGCCAAATATAGTGAGCTTTAAGACAAAAGATGTGAACACAATAGCGTGTACAGATATTGAAATTGCTCTGCTCCTTTAAAGAAGTTGTTTCACTGAACTCTCGAACTTTCAGTATGATTTTCCTGCTGCCTGGGATCAAATGAGTCATGGCGACTGGAGCAAGGTTTTTAAAATATGCCTCTTGATAATATCTCCGGAAATGCATTCCACTGCATTATACTGTGAAGACATTAAACAATGCTACCATCCAGCTGTGTCCAACCATAGACATTTACATCTGTTAAACCACACACCTCCATTGCCGAATCATGCAAATAATGGCTGTTATATGCAGTCTATTAAAAATTAGCGCTCAGAACAAAAGCCTTTGTAGCTGCACTCATGACCGAGGCTCCTAAGTGCAAATTGAATTTTAAAGAAAGCCCAGTGAAGCTATTTTTCTTTTCTTTTTCATAAAATCCAGTCCTACACTACTATTCACCCTGAAGTAGTTAGAAAATATGCCTGCACACATATGTGCACACACAATCAGGCACACATTTACACACACACACACACACACACACACACACAGAATGAGTTTGCCATGCATTGTTGTCTATCTAGACAGCTCTCAGGGCAAAACAAACTGATCTAAACTGCAATATTGGACCTTGTGGAAAGAAAGAAAAGGCTATTTCCCTGCAGGCTTCTTCGGACTGCCAATGTGTCAAATGAGCCAGCCTGGATGGGACCAGCTTCTTTACATTATCTCCGGTCTGCAGCAGTGTTTCTTAGGCAGAAAGAGGCAGGCACTTACCTTTCTGTGACAGCAACAAAAGGAGAAACCATTATGTCGCCTGCCTTGACAAACGTCTCTATAAAAAAAATGGAAAGAGTGAAAGAGTCAGTTAGAGGTGCTCGAGATGAAAGTCTGCACCCTTTTTAAGGCATGGGGCGCAGTACCAGCATGCCACCATCATATTGCTCTAGCATATACACACACCCCTCCTCACAGCAGGCTCACTGTAGCCAGGAGACAGAGGCATTAAATTAAAAAATCACAGCCAGAGGAAATAAACAGGAACCACAGCGATCCCCTCGACCCCAGCAGCCATCAAATCCGGGAAGATACACTACACATCTGTTTCATGCAATCCCTTGGGAGTGCCAACTCCAGTTACTTACCCTGTCTGCATTATTAATAGATGTTAATGGCTCCATTATAACAAGGAAAAGCCTTTCCCTTTCCTAAAATACAGAAATTCAGACCGACCGCCACATCTCCTTTTAATCACAAAGCAGCAGTCACTTCCTTGATTCTTCTCCTGCCAATGAAGTCACATTCTACTTCCAGCATCTCAGCTTTCCATATAGCCATCTGATAAGCAATTTATAGCAAACAAGTGCAATATAGGAAAAAAGCAAAGAGGGATATCCTGGTGGAGGGTTTCCAAGACGTAAAGATATTTGATTGGGTTTATACAATCCCATTTTAGCCTGTAGCATATTTAACTTATTTTCTTAGAGGCTTAAAATAATTGGCTTTGTTGGATGTTACCTAAACGAAAAAGATTTGTACTTTATAGGGCAGAAATTAGAAATTATTTAGATTAACTCAGTACCAAAGCTAAGCTTTCAGGCCTTCCCATCCTGTTAATATGCAAGAGAAACAGACCTTGAAGTGTCTGTAAGGAATGTCTTCATTCCTGACCTGACTTGTCTCCTTAAGGTAAATGCAGAGCAAAACATTTCTGAAAGCATGCAGACATCCCTACACACAAAAATATTGACCTATTTTAACTCAGATCTTCCTAAGTATGTTAAGAAGATACTCCAGGGAACAAAATGAATTAACAAATTTCCAAATGGCCTTTTGATAGCAATACATAAAGGAGACTGCCTTTGTCCCTTTTCACTTCTACATATTTATGGCTTTTTTTCAGGTAAACATCTTGGGGTCTACAAGAAATGGCTCCTGTAAAATGTATTTCACCATACAATCTTTTCATTCAAATGCTGCACAAGAGATTATTTTTATGTATCTTTATTGGATTCCAACTCAATTTACAAGAGTTTTGCCTAAAGGTAGCATCTTATTACCCAAGTGACAATAAAAAGACAACTTCAATTTTAGTTGATTGCTTTTTTTTATTTAAAAAAAAAGTTCTATGTTTTCATGAAGTCAAAAATCAAGCATTGTACAATACTCTGTTTCGAATGTAAGATGAAGCTGTTTGCTTACTTTTAACGAACATATGAGACATGCCATTCATTCTTTCAAGAAACATAAAGCCATGGGTTCTGTTGTTCTTTGACTCTATGGATTTTAGAGAACACCATTGCAAGAATTCCACTGAAATAAAAGCAGAGCAGGACAGGACAGGAGAGGACATCACAAAGTTTGTATTAGAGATTTGTGCTTCAATTATTTATTCAGATAAACTCTGCTGAAAACTTAGCTCTTGACATGCCAATTTATTTGAGGGGGAAGAGGAAGAGAGGAAATGGCTCAGAAATTATGAGCCATTGGGACTACAGTACTGAGGCCAATGAGTCACAGTATGGACCAGTTTCAGACTGAAATGAAAATGGAAGCATGGTGGCTTAGGATAATGAGGAGATGCTATATTCAAGAAAGTTAGAAGCAGAGAATTTGGCTATTTAAAGAGGATTTAGCACAACAGGATAGAAATATCCTCAGTTCATTTCTGATTTGTAATTATTTATAGGTGCATTACAATTTACTTTGTGCAAACAAAAAGAATTTATAATCCTGATTTACACAGTAACTTTTTTTACAGTATTAATTCCATTGTGAATGTTTATCTTTTTTGTTACTTAAGACTTCTTTCATTTTCATTTCCTGAAAAAGGTGGATTTGTGAGGATAAGAGTATATCTGTAAGGATAGGTGAGAGAGAATATATGTTTTCTATGTGCCTAAAACTTTAATTCAACACATGTCTATTTTCTGAACTGATCTTTGACAAAAGTATGGAAAAAGTATTCATTTTCTCAATATTTTGGATTCATGTGATTTTTTTTCCCATTTTGTCTCATCCCTGTTGTTTAAGAATGGATGACACATGATATTGATTTTATGTTACATGACACAAACATGACAATACTTGAACCAGATATAAAAGTACAGATTTTATGTCAATTTGATTTTCTTTTTGCTTAGCGAGAAAACAAAACAAATGCCAACCAATATAAAACAAAATCAATAACTATAATGCAGTAGAATAACAAAGGAAAGTAACTGGTTATAAGGAAAATAAGGATTTTTTTTTTAAAAAAATTAAAATAAAACCCTAGAGATTAGTTTACCAGTTTATTTCTGTAAATAACTATCTTAGCAATCCTTAAATTTTCCAGGATGACATATTTCTTACCTTTATGGGTAACTACATTGCTCCTACATTTTGAATAGCAAATAAGGCTAATTAGCAAAAGCACCTGCATTACTTATCTAAGGAACAAAGAGCATTTTCTTCTTCCATCATTTGGTTCCTAAGCCACACCCTTTTTCCATACAAAGCACAGACTCTTTTCAATGCTGCCATTCCCCACCCCTATCATTAGGAATGAGCATTTTCACAGCAACATTGAAATAGTAACATCACACATATCCAGGAAGGCGGAAGGCTACAGATAAAATTGTATGCAAGAGCATTGGGTAAGTATGTTAGGGTGTCACTACTTATTCATATTTACAGAAGCTTGTGGTACTTGTAACTAACAGACAACCAAATGCTGCATATGCAAATATCTTATTTAAATGGCTTAAACGCATACTATTCCCAGGCACATCAATTTTCTGGGTATTGAAAATCTGCTTTAGAGCCATTATTCATTCCATTCAAGTTAAGATTGTCATAGGATGGATGGTTATCTAAGACAACTTCAAGGACCACTGGGCAAACACAATGCATAAACTTCATTATAATTAAGCATAAATGATATAACTTGTCTACACAAGTTGATTTGCTTACTTATGGTTGGCTGACAGTCACAAATTGCCAGCTTATATATATGAATGAACTTAAAAAGTAGGAAAAGTCTTGTCCATACAGCTGATTCTTGACATAAAACAGTACAAGAGCTTGCCCATTATGGTCATGTCATAACATTCATAATACCAGTTGGTCACATGACTGACCCAATTTTACCTTTTTTGTGATGGTTGTTAAGTGACTCAACATGGTTATTAAACAAATCTGCAGGTGAATACCAAAATCATTAAGTGATTCAATCGTTTATAAGGGGTGCAATTTTGCTGTAAAATGTGGACAAATTATGGCAGGACACTGCAAATGTGGCTATGTTGTTGAGCATCCAAAGTTTGGTCAGATAACTCTGGAGGGGATCTGACAGTCAGAACTTAAAATCCAAGTAATCCTTTTTTCAGAGTCAAGATTAAGATAAAAAATATCTCTGATTCAACTATATTTTTAAACAGCCTTTTTAAATCCTTATAACTTTAACTCAACAACTGTAGAGAGTGCAAAGGTGAAATGAAAAGAAAAAAAACCTGTCTATTTCATTTCTTTCCAAATTCATATTATGTTTTGTTGGAATATTCATGAACAGGAAGAGTCATGTGGTAACTCAGTCAGCCAATGTGAAGAAAGTGCTACTGAGTCTGTGCAAAAAGAGTATTGAGTTAGGAGCTGGATTTCCAGTCTCATGTCTGTCTCTGGTCTGTCTCTGTAAGAAGTCTTTGTTAAGCTATGTTGCTGTAAAGAAGAATGGTATTGTAAATATTTTTATATAAATATAGTTATTTGAATCAGCTAAATGCAATCAACTGTGAGAGCTTCTGATTTATTTTTCACCAATTAGAGAAATTAAAATTCTCTAACAGGTTATGGGCCCAGAGCTTACTAAGGACTGCATTGTAATTTAAAGCTGGAAGAAATTGCCTGTGTTTAGAAAGTATAAGAACAAGGCAGAATTAGCAGAATGGCTGCAATGGAATTTAAGGAAAGCTGTGTGCCTCATTTGGGCCAAAAGAATTATATTGTGTGGGCTGCAAAAATGGAATGTTTGCTGAAAGCTAAAGAGCTGTGGTATATTGTAGAAAATCCACCACAAGTGTTTGCAGCAAGTGATCAGAAAAGTCATGATAGAGCAATGGCTTTTCTCATCTTGAATTTAGATGATGAACAATTTCTAAATGTTGCAAATTTAAAGACTGCAAAGGAGATTTGGTTGAAATTGAGAGCTGTGCACGTGAATGTTTCTGCTTGCAACATAGTGCAATTATCAAGAAAACTTTACAGGGCCTGTTTGCAACCAGGTGAATCTGTGGAACAGCATTTAAATAAAATGCAAAGTTTACTTTTGGACTTAGAACAATGTGGGATTAAATTCCCTGAGTCCCAAAAGGTTTTACTGGTGTTGAATAGTTTAGATAAAACCTGGGACACAGTTTCTGCAATATTTGAATGCAAAGAAGAGCAAGACTTAAATTTTGAGGCTTTAAAGCAGCGGTTCTCAACGTTTGTGTGACGGCGACCCCCGTCACACAAACGTTATGCGCATGCACAGCATGCATGCGTGGCACCGCCCCATGCGCGGTGCGCATGCGCGGCACCGCCCCCATGCGCAGCGCGCATGCGCGGCACCGCCCCCATGCGCGGCACGCATGCGCGGCACCGCCCCCATGCGCAGCGCGCATGCGCGGCACCGCCCCCATGCGCAGCGCGCATGCGCGGCACCGCCCCCATGTGCAGCGCGCATGCATGGCGCCGCCCCCGGAGGGGAGAAAATGGCGGATCACCGCCTTTGGCGACCCCCGAAAAATGGTCGATCGACCCCAAATGGGGTCGCGACCCATAGGTTGAGAATCGCTGCTTTAAAGGCATGTTTGC